TGATGGGACTATCCTTAATTATGCTGTCTCATAGCTGACTCTTACATCTACTGTATGACATGATCCTGAACCACGTCATATTTAGTATAATTGTTTCTATATGATACCGTCGTTGCTTGGACCGAATTTATCGGTCTGTATTGACATATGGGTTCCTGTGCGGATGCCTCGATATTGCCTGCGTTCTAATTGTATTAATGATATTTGTCCATTTCATGCCTAAAGTTGTTGTCACATGAGATTAGTCTTGTACACATTTCCCACATATTGTATGCAAAATTTGACTGACTTTTAAGGTCATCCTAACAGAAGCTGCAATAACGAATCACAATCTCCCGAAATAGACAAACCTTATTGGCTATTTCACCTATTGCTTGAGTGACCTTTAAAGTTACGATTGGTCACCCTCTCAAATTTGTATATTAGGATGCGAAGTCTGATACTTATTGACCTTGAATATTGACAATCTGAGTCATCTATATGCATATCTATGCAACTGGATGACCTGTCGATGACGTACCATGCATAACTCATAAAAATCAATGTGATAATACACATTAATTGATCTAACTCAACAAGTAATTATTTCAGAATTTCAAGTCATAGAGAAATAAATGAGGGTTAACTGAAAAGCCACTGATTCGAGCTACACAATAAGGCCATCAAAGAACTCTACCTTTCAAAATCAAATTAAATAATACGACTGGTCAGGTTAAGCTAAGATTCACACTTTCCCTTCTTGGACCAGTTTTGTTATTTGATATAAACTGAGCTTTATGTAAATGTTTGACTGCATACTTGAAAAATAACTTTCAGACTCCACCCCTGGTAGTTGTTCAGTTCCTCGATGAATAGAAAATTTGGTAAGATAATAGAAGGTGTATTGAGACATCAAAATATCTATAAAGATTAACTGTTTACAACCAACCAACGCATCCACATGAAATCGAACACTCCTACTACAAAGCTTTGGTAATGCTTCCTCAAAATGACTAGTGTTATCTCACAATCCTTCCTAATGACAGACATAATCGCATCCATATTTGCTGCGTAGTTGTTTCGTTGATCATACTCACCTCTGCGTAGGCAGACGTATAAGGGATGCGTCTCACTGAAGTCTCCAAGATCTTGCAGACCTAAGTGCACCTAGCTTTCCGAAAAGACATTCCACTAGAAAGCCTTTCCTATGAACCCTTGATGCTGACAAATTGACAACCGTGACTTCATTCGGACTATTAAAATACAGTCAAGGCCATAGATTACAACACCGGGATTCCGAGGTGAATATCGCTCAAATCGAGTCGTAACCGGCTTCGTACAAAAGATTCCCGGCTTACATGTGTTCAGAACAGAAATTCAGCACCACTTAACCATGTAGAGTTTCTTCACGCTGAAGCACAACTAAAGGGTAGTTCTATGCTGCACAGAGAGTCATGATATTGAACTACACTTAAGTCGGGGTTGAATCCTTAATGGTGGTCTGTAGACAGTCATATAGGCAGATTATTAATAAGTTTGTTGTTGAAGTGAATCAACGTCTGTATGAGAAATTCTATCTCATCCATTTGTTACTTTGATTTCATGAAATGAGACTAGAGGACATCAACACATCATCCATAAATAGATTTCGTCATAATTTTTTTTACCAAGACTGGATGTTATACAGTTTGTAATTGTCTACGAAAGGTGTATGTGCATGCGTCTGCCACCTTTGAGAATCAGTCGGTGGAAGGCCTAACTTGACCTGTGGTTTTCACTTACACCAATCATAAAAATATTTCAGAAATCCTAAGAGAATATACATATACTTCGGCAGTTGTCAGTAAGGCGTATCTGCAATCTCAAGGAGTTAATGTCCCCTCTTAAATTTAAACTTCCATCAATCACTTAAGTTCATTACAATGGTGAGCATTCTAGCTTGATGGCCAAGCTGTAAAAACCGTCAGCATTCACAACTAGACAACATGAAATTGATTAACTTCCAGTGACTAAACTATGTGTTAATCATGAATTTTTGCAGGGAAGAATACATGAAAGCATAGTAATGCTTGAATCGTATCGGAATCATATAAAAAATCTCGATGATGGCATAAGATTTCTTGTTCCGGAAAACTTACATGATATATTATTTGACTTCATGAAAGGAAGATAGGATTATTATATGAAAAAGGCCAAATTAAGGCAGATAAGGAAATTCAATGCTCTGAGTCCAAACCCTAACAAATTAAATATTATGCAACAAAACAAATCATCTAATCTCAAAGTAGTATGTAATGTATCCGATCGCGTCCTCACAAATGAGGAAAATTCACTATTATCCAAAGGATTAAACTTTAATTTAAATCGCCCACCAATGACCATACTCGAAGTAGCACCGGCACTAAAACTAATCCAGCAGGATATCACAGAAGAAGTTAGACATAAAGTCTCACATGTTCTAACTAACCAAAAACGGTCAGATATAAGCATATTGATAAACAAGGAACGTGCTCTTCGCTCTTTAAAAATGATAAGAACATACGGATTATGAAAGCTAACAAAGGAAACATAACCGTTGTCATGAATATATCAGACTATGAACAAAAGGTTACAAAGCACCTATCTAGTGGACCGTATGAAATGATAGAAAACAAGAAACGTAAGCCTACACTTAACAAGATAAAACTGAAATCGAAATTAGGGAATGTCTTGTGGTTTAATTTAGCACCAAAAAGTTATGCTGTTTCACTCTTCTATAGCCTTTCCAAAATTCACAAACCCAATTTTCTGATTAGTCCAATTGTGGATTTTACAAATTCCCCAATATTATATAACCTTTAAAAGTACCTCATAAAAATCCTTAAACCGTTACAAGACAATTGATAAGTATCATTAAGAATTCATTAGACTTCAAACATAAATTATTACCAATAATGATTGAAGATGATGAAATAATGGTTAACTTTGACGTTGTTTCTCTGTATACTAATATTCCGATTGATGAAAGCATACAGGTTGTTAGAGTTTTATTAGAGTCAAATACTTCTTTATCTCTTAGATGTAGTATTTCCATCAGTGAAATCTGTGATGCACTGAGATTATGTCTGACTTCAACCTATTTTACTTTTCGAAGGGACCTTTATCGTCAAAGTAGAATCCGATCTACTTAACCAACATAATTTAAAACCAAGAGTATGGTGGAGGTATATTGATGACACCTTCGTCATAACCGAAAAACAAGGATGGATTAGAAAGTCTTTTTGAATACCTAAACAACCGTTTCAATTCTGTAAAATTCACATATGAACTAGAAACAGAATTCAGAACGTTAACTTTCCTAGACTGCAAGGCGATACGAAACAGTGATAGGATACTTGACATTGATGTCTATCGAAAAGATACACATTCTAACAAGTACCTTGACTTCGATTCAACTCATCCATTGGAAACTAAATTAAACGTTGCCAAAAATCTGTTGACGAGATTGCAAAGGATACCAAATAAAGTGGAATCTCAGCAAGCAGATAGGCGACTTGTTCGGGAAGTCTTAAGACAAAATAACTATCCAGACAAACTATTAAAAAGGATCGAAAAAAGTTTATCGAATAAAAATATGAAAAAGTCAAGCTATAAAGATTAGATAAGTACTATAGCACTTCCTTATCGAACATCCACTTCAGAGGAAATAAGACGTATCCTTAACCGTTACAACATCAGAGTATTCTTTAAGGTGACGAATACATTACACTCACACCTGTGTAAATTAAAAGATCCGATTCCTTATTTGGAACAACAAAATTGTGTTTATAAGGTAGACTGTAGTGAATGCGATACCACATATATTGTGGAGACATCATATCAAGTACTAACACGTCTAGCCGAACACAGCAGAAGTTCCAAAAAACCACCAAAAAATTCCTATGATCTAGAAAAACTTGAAAAAACCTCTGCTATCTCAGCTCATGCCCTAAATTCAGGTCATAAAATATCATTCGAACAGACAAAAGTTCTACAAAAGGGTTTTCTCTCTCACAAAGACCAGACCATTGTAGAAGCTTTACACATCTGCTCACATTCTTCTTCGGTCAACAGAAAAGATGGGTTAGACATCCGACTAATATAGTGGCAAACATTAATGACTCACCTAGGCAGTTATAAATAATATCTGAAGACAAGGTAGATTGTCTAGTCCTATTACATAAGCACCTTATTGATCTACTATTCTCATCAATTTTACACTACTCTCTGAGTCATATACATTCGATGGAACCATAACATAATCCATTTTGTTATCACTCATACTTCAAGTGTTATCAAAAGTACATTTATGGTTATCATTATTATTATTTATTTAAGATAATATTGTCTCATCTTCAAATATTCATCCTTCCAAACTAGTAGTAATCTATTCTTTCTCACCCTTGATGTCCTACAACCCCATTGTACTTTTCATAGACGAACTAAAAAGTTTCCCCAATTTATTTTTGTTCCACTTTACTCGCACAACAGAAAACCCTCTCTGACCGAGTGGCTTATTCACTCACTTGTATTACATTGATCTTTGCTCCATATCATTATGTAATTGGAGGATTGTAAAGGTCACCCCCACCTTCTTCTGTACCAAAACTTGAACATTAACCTAAAAACTTAATGTCTCGCATTCATACTCTTGAAGAAAAGGATATTCCTAGCAAGATCGAAATGTGTTGAGGAACAATACAAAATATTTGTTCTAATATACTACTCCGGGGATTACACAAGTAAAAATACATCCTATACAATGAATTTTTGCGACAAAATTTGGAAATAATTTATAAAGATTATCAATTTGACATCAATTTTCAGTAAGGATCAACATCAGTTTGACAACCAATAGAAACTTAATACAAATGCATACATGTTTTCTAGTAACAGTGTACACCTATGATCATGATAACAGACTGACCAATCTTTCCAACATTTAACTAATAACAACCATCATCGAATGAATGCTCTTCTCATATAACGATGTGTTATTCATAGGGTCTTACTGATATGTGTCAGAGTGGATTACAATACTATACAATATGTGTTCCTTGAATATCATCTTCAAAGTTCTAAATATCTTATCAAAAATCTCATTGATTTACATCTCAAGAATGTATATATTTAAATGTTACATTCAAGGAGAGAAGCATATAAGACAGTAAATTGTTGGAAATACTGGTAAGCGGTCACATTTACACAGGACTGAAAACCAGTTAGTTCAAGTTGAAATTGTTGAATAGACAGAACTTTAAAGAAATGCAGTAAACCTGATTGCTTGAATAGTTTACTAGTGATATCTTTGACATGAGTGAAGAGGTGAATAGGGAATTTAGTTCCCCTGTTGATTACTGACTCGGCCTTTCTGCCCATTTCCTTTATCCAAACTTTGCTTAGTGGTAATTATCTTAAGTATATGACTCTGGCGATTCATTTCTAATGTCGACCTTGAGAGTGATTGGTCACGTATATACACTTGACCAATCTCGGTTATTCCATCCATCTACATATACGATGATTCACGCGATTCAGTCGTATTGTGCAACTGTATGGAACAGAACACAAAGTTTGATACTTACTGCCCGTATAGATTTCAGGCGGTCATATTCATCTGTGTGTACATAAAAATGGATTGATTTCACTCAACATTCAGTGATTATTTCCAAACTGTAAGACATGGATGAATGAATGACGGTGGAGGGGGTCAATCGAAAGCTGTTGAATGGAGTAAGGCATACAATTATGTCATCATTTCGGTAATCCGTACACGTAATACACTAAATACACTGGAGACAGGTTGGACACAACACTCACATAGTAGTTATGTAAACATTAGTACTGATAATTATTTTTACTTGTAATATCCCAATGCTATTAATCGGTTGAATTGCTCTACCCTAGGCGGGTAGATGAGCCCCTACATAGATATATGTCTATACTTCCTCTGAATACTCATATTATGCTATAGTTTAGTAGGTGGCTAGCATGGAATACCAGGAGTATATCAACGGGAAATCACTAGTTTCAGTCAACAGTGCCTCAGTTGCTTAGAGGAAATACGCTTTGGTATTTAAAGCGATGTGTGTTAGGTTCCAATCGCACTGGGAACATCATAACTTATTAGGGTACAGGTACATTAAGCTGATGAGTTTCAACCAAGACGAAATGAGCCTACTGAATAGTAGTAATAGTAACACTAACAGTAGTAATGGTAATCAAGGTGACTGAACTCAGTGGGTGAATTCGCGTAAAGTGCACACACACTTTCTAAATGCCTACGCGCATAAACACATCATACAAGCACAGTAAGACACATTTATCTTGTACACTATATTCAATAAAAGTAATTACAATGTAACAAGGAAGTAAGGTGTCATAAAATTATATCTTGTGCACTAAAACACATTGAGCTATTTTATATTCATAAGTTCATATAATATAGGATGTACTTGATAATTATGTGTCCTTAGGAAGATATCTGAGTGATCTATAGTTGTGTGCCTATGTGTGTGTGTGTATGTGTCTGTGTCTGTGTACAGATATGTATGTCTGTATGTCTATGACTGCTGGAAATCTTTGTGCTGTATATGTTTATAATATGCATTTATTATTATGGTATACACATTTAGTGTGTCTATCAATGCACAACAATTCTGATTCGCTATACTTGGCATTATTGTGGCTATTATGACAAAAGGTAGTATGCTAACGAACTCACCTCTGACTTACTCATGATGCTATGTAGATAAATAGGTAGCATAGTAAGTGTATGTACGTGTGTATGTGTGTGTGTGTGTGTGTTATTGTGCGTCTGTACTTAGAATAAGAATAGTTTATAACGTTGTATCATACAAGTTTGTTGACATTACTAAGTACTCATCATCATCATCATCAAAATCTTCTCCAACATTTGCTACTTCATAATTCGTATATAATTACACTGGTATTGCTGTTTGATAAGTAATCCAGGAAAAAAAATTCTGTTTGTATAAATAACACTATCAGTTTAGGCGTCAATTCTGCCTTGATATAAATTACCTCTGACACTGGATCATTCTATTTGAATCATACACTAACAGAAAAAATCAAACTAGGCATCAATATACACATACACACAACAACAACACAATGAATCCTTTAAACAATCTCCTATATGAATTATTCAATAAACATTTGAATCATAATGATCATGATGATAAAGATAATAAATATTCAATGTCCAATGAACCGTTTATTGAACATTTAATCTCTATGGGAAAGTTACTAAGACAAATGCGTACAGACTATACTCAGCTACAACAGGTTACAAGTAAGATTTAACTCATTATACATATATATATATTAGAGGAATAATATACTACTGAAAAGTAGACTTAAGTATTTTTCGTTTATACATTATCTGTTAGCATTTCATGCTGTTAAAATGATATTTAGTTTTGTTTCAAAGTAACACTCATCACGAAATGATATATCAGCTATGGAAGAATTGAAAAGAGCTACAGTTTCCTTCTAGTATTAGACAGAAGGAGGGACAGTGGACCATTAAACCCGATTCAATGGCAAGGAAACCTTAAGGTCTTAAGTCATATGCCTGGTGAGGCAGGCTTGTGGGTGAGTACTGCACTAGAATGAAACAGCTCCTCTTCATTGTTTCTAGTGTCTAAGAGGTTCTCTACCAACTGGTGTCATGTCTACACTACACTATCGCATAATACTGATTAGTGATATGCTTTGAAGTGAACATTCTGAAGTTCTGGTGAGACCTATGGTTGATATTTGCGCTATATCATCAATTCATAGAAGTAGGAAACTTTACTTCAATGTTATATATAGAAAAAAAACTGACGGATAATTTCATTATCCTTATTTTAAAAAGAAGATGATAGAAAAAGACAATTCAGTGAAGAGAGAATTTTAATGATGCATCGTGGCTAGCAGTGGAATTAAGGAATCCCAATGAGAATAACATCATGCACTGGAAAGCAGGTACATTCAGCTGATGAGTCTCAAATAGAACGAAATGCAGCATCCTGGATTCCATTGCTAGCCAGAATCCATCATTAATATAATTAGATTGTTGGCAATATCGAAGCATCCGCACAGCAACCCATATACCAATAGAGACTGATCAATTCGGTTCAATCAACGACGGTATCATATAAAAACCCTTATACTAAGAAAGAATTTTACTTTTGGTATAAATCTCTTTCAAAAACTGTACAGTTGTAATTACAGTATCCATCAATAGCTAATACGTCAATACAAGGTCATCAAAAATGGTTCATAAAATCACAAGGTGAAAATGGTTAGAAGGTCAACTCAAGGTCATCTGTTTATACAATTACAATAAATAAACAAATAATCGACCAATAGATAAATGAAATGTCTTCGGAATTGAACGTATCTCTTTTGATTACAAAGATCATATTCGACCTGGTGAATTGCCAAAGTTCCTACTGAGTTTCGATGGCAAATCTGCGCTCTGTCTCTTTTCGAAATGTTTAATTTGACTTTAGAAATCACTATGAAGGAACAGAGTGATTAGAGTTAAAACCAAATGCTGAAAAAACAACAACCTGCTAACTATCTCATAGTAATGTAGGATAGTGTTCGGGAAGATGAATATGAATATAGCAGGCTCTGTTCAATGTATGTAAAGAACTTCACTAGAATAAGTGAGTTGGTTTATTATTCCGATGAGATCGCATAATTTTTCAATATTCTAATATATACTGAACCTAATTTTATTCTCAATTATCCTCTCTCTTTTGTATATGTTTGCATTTTTAGTATTCAATTCTCTGTGTCAATCACTTTCTTCAATGAATTTTGCGCAAATAAGCCAATCGAATCCAGAAAATGTGTATAGTTTCTTAAATATCCTACAGGCTGTCCAATCCCCATTCACTTGTCTAACTGATAAGTCATATGTACAATTTCTTATGCACTATCTGACCACTATTCAAATATATCGTGATCAGTTGACCAAGTCTACAGTGAATACTGATTGTAGTTTAGAACAAGCTGAAGATTTACGCATAAATGTCAATAAAGATCGTGATTCAATAGATGATAATTCAAGACACTTTTTGTCACCATTATCAACAGTATCTTCACAGTTTTCATCAGCATCTAGCCCTATACAGCCTCCATCTTCAACAATATCATTAACTTTATCATCGTTATCAACACCCTCACAATTGATTAGTGATTGTCAAGAAGATTCACTTATCAATCCTTTTCAAAACAGTCGAAATGATTTCCAGTTACATAAATTAAATATGAAGTTATCAAATCGAACAGTCAATTCTTTGATAAATAATGCTCCATTGAATAATTCATATCCTCTTGGGCATTCAATGCATTACCCATTTCATCAATATCAACAAAATAACCCATTGATATTGAATAAAATTCCATCATTTGATGAAAATTCATTAACCACACCGATAAATAATAGTAGTAACAATCATAATAATAACTACGATATTCATCCAATGTTCAATGATGAACAGGTTCAATGTTCAAGTGAATCAGTCGCCTGTCAACATTTCAACTTTTCAACCAATGATAATATTGTAAATTCGAGTAAGAATATTGAGCTGGACAACAGTCAACTTCATCATGAACTGAACTCTTCACATTTTTCTACATTAAAAAACTCTACAGATAAAATATTTGGCAATGTTTTAAGAAAACAGCGAAATAGATCTCGTAAATACATTAGATGTACAAGAAGAAATGCAGGTAAATACTTTTCTTATCGTCAACATTCAAAGATATACTACTTATATTGTGATTAGTGACCCAAAGTTTAGGTATATAGTCAGACAGTAGCAACGTAGATCCTCGCACTGAAGGAGAGAGAATCAAAAAATGAAGGCTAGTCAAAACACTGAAGGTTTGGAAGGTATCAAAAAGTGAGTCCTTAAACACTCATTCCTATCATCTCGGGAACATCAACCAGGTCGTTTACACCTCCAGATGTGGCTCAGACCAACAGTCAGTCACTTCATTGACTGGTGCCAGGTCAAACCACTACATCCAACCTAGTCCAAATTACCCAAACAATGCACACTGAGGTAAACGGCAACTCGGTATGCGCAGTACATGTCCAAGTCAATTCAGTCGATGAACGTTCACAATGAGATTACATTATTTAGGGCAGAAAGGAAGTCTTTTTCAAAATAACGAAACGTAATTGGTTATCTCACCAGTTGATTAGGAGGCGTTTGATAAAGTCACTTGGTGAACTACAAACATTCGACTCCGTATGATTCCTGTTTTTCTGGAGTGACCTTGAAGGCTACCTTAGCAAAGATTGAAATGGCCAATTCGGTTTCTTTATTTCAGCTGGGTAGGTAAATTTCAATAGAATCAAGAGATCTAATTGGTTGTTTCAGCTGCTGCTAAAATAACCAATCATACTTCTATATTTTAGAAAAAAACAACCTTTTTAGCAAAAATACAAAACGTTGGTTGGTTATTCCAATAACTGTTAGGGTGACCTTTAAGGTCACTCAAATATGCCACTAATTTTTAAAATAAGCCCAAGAAACGTATTTTCATCTCTCATAGACAAGTTTCTCTAAAGCCCACCCTAGTAACTGCTGAAATCACCAATCATTTTTCTATTGTATGCACTGAACAACCTACTATATTTCTGTATGTGAAAAAAACTAGCCGAATAGTTTCGGAACCAGCGTCTTTCAGACCAGTGTTGACGTTCTCAAGGCATTGGTTGGCAGGAAATGGCATTCTATACTCACTCACTCACCCACTCACTCACTCACTCACTCACCCACTCTCTCTCTCTCTCTCTCTCTGTCCAACTTCCAAAATTTGTAGTCAAGCTAAGTGGTTGGGATGAACGACCAGATATGCGCAGCATTTTACTTCACAGATATTTCCCATCTGTGCATAGGCTAAAATTATATATCTTAGTCAAGACAAATTATAATTTCTACATGATCAGATCGATGATTATTGATCAATCAGAGTAATGTCAAATGAACAATAATGTAGGGGAAGGAGATTGCTAAACAGACGTGGAAGTATGTAAGTACACGAATAGTTAGAAACCATCATTACATAATCAAACCCTTATTCTCATAAAAAAACAACTACGACCAGTTTAGCTTCAATGGATTTGAACACCGACTTCCGCCTGCCGAAGTTTGGGCAGTATCATTGATCTTAACATAATAGGTGTGACTCATGAATGTTTATAAAGCTGCTGTGAGTAGATTATTTCCTAGATTTGAAAAGTTGACCTTTAGTCAAGATGGTACTGGATAAAGTTGTTTGGAAAAAAACACACATACTCTAAGTGGATTGAAAGAAAGGAAAGAGGTTGAAAAGCTTGCTGCTAACACTAAGATAGTGAGTGAGTGATTCGTAACAACGGAAGGACATCAGATGGTTATCTTCGAAGCCTTTGCAAAAGCTCTTGAAATGAGACATCGTTTAAGCATGACCTTGACTCATTAGGAGAAGCTTTAATCAGCCTTCCTTTACCTAATGTTATTTTCCATTACGTCATGTCTTCCTACTTATCTAATTAAATTCTAATCGCATTTCTTGATTTCGATGCTTTTCTAATTATTCGCCTGCCCACTGATTCCCTTCAACTAGTTAACAATTTCCTTTACTTATTTCTTTATTTGTCAAACAGTTCAGAGGTTTATAGGGATTCCTTTATTGATTTGGATTTGTTTTCTTTACAGTATGGGAGTCGTTAGTAGTACGCACCAGTCACCCACTGGGGGTCGAACCCAAGACCTTCAAATTCTGCTGCCAGCATGTTATCGTTAAGTGACTTGGATACGATCTTCATCAAATGACATTGTTGAGTATTTCTCTTCACATTTGATTTTATTTGTCTCCCTAGGTATGACTTGTCATTAGAAGTCAAAGTGGGTTGCTCACTAAGAAGCATATAGTCGATCTAGTCACTTATGTAATGATGTGCAGATATCTGTTACTTGTTGCTTCATTGAAACCGATGTCTAGGGGACTTCTGTACATGAATTAGGTGAGGGTTGTTAAGTAGGTAGTGATGACTGACTAAATTCAGTGACTTTCCTAGCTATACCTATCTATCAAACTGAAGAGAATACTTATTTCTCTTCTATTCCGCTTGAATAGACAAACAGTAGCGTTTGTTGACATGGCGTATTGCAGATTTGTCTCCTACACGATGCAATCACGTGAGATGTAAACTGCATTTCGGAGGAATTCTCAATTCTTCTTAACCTTTTCATTCTTTATCCCCTTTTTTTTCGCATATTGCTCAGATGGTGTCTAACACACCAGTCTCCAGTGTATATCAGTTAAGTTCAGTTGCCAAGGGGAACATCATCCCATAGACACTCTTCAGTGATCAAAGAAAATCATTCCAATAAATTCTCTTTGTATTTATTTCATTTTTCAATATTTACTGTTGATATTGTCTAGTTTCGGTAAAAATAAACTGAAAGAGTATGTTCTCATCTATGCACACATTTTTTTCTTTGTGGTTGGTGATTTTTTAGCCTTCTGTTCTGCTGTTCAACAATTTCTTTCTTCCTGATTTAATTTTAACTTGATTATCAGTAATTTTCAGTGAAAAACACACACACACACACACCGAAATGATACCTAAATTATCCGACTACCTTTGATCTTTAGTTAAGATCATAATGGTGATTTGCCTGGATGGAATTATTCAGCTTTTCAACAATAACAACAACATAAAAAAAGGCTAAATTATAAAATCTATACACTTCGAGAAATGGTTCAGAGACTTGGAGCGTTACGAAAGGGATTCCGAACAAACTACAGACAATCATCAACAGCTGGTGCCAACGCTGGCTCGTTAGTGAAGATCAGATGGATTGCCAGAAATAATAAGCAAGGAGGAATTGTGGCTGGCTGGCTGGCTGGGTGGCTGGGTGGCTGGCTGGCTGGGTGGCTGGGTGGCTGGGTGGCTGGCTGGCTGGGTGGCTGGGTGGCTGGGTGGCTGGGTGGCTGGCTGGCTGGCTGGCTGGCTGGCTGGCTGGCTGGCTGGCTGGCTGGCTGGCTGGCTGGCTGGCTGGCTGGCTGGCTGGCTGGCTGGCAACGAACCAACCAAGCAAGAACCTATCACTCAACAAATATGAAGTGGAAGGAGGTGGAGATGGATTGGATTAGGCATACACTGAGAAAACCGACTGTGGCCATCACGCGTCAGGCCAGTTTCTTGAGTGGAACCCAGATGGAAATCGACGAGTTGGGCGTCGTCGGGGAGGATGACATGGAGGAGATCGTGTGGGGAGGAAATGAGAGCTTGTGGGCTGTCATGGAGCGAGGTTTAAAAGATTTTAGAGAACAGAGAGCATTGGAGACGTGCTGTTGAAGCCGTATGTTCCATTAGGAACCCAAGGGACTACTAATAATATCAATAATACACTTCAAGGAATGATACTAGATTGTCTACTTATCTATCCATCTGTCCGTCTGTCTGCCTGCCTGCCTGCCTGAATGTGTCTATCTGTTTGCTTGACAGTTGGCCAATGAAACAGAACCCTAACAGTGGACCCACACCATGCGTTCCGTCCAATTTGAAACTTACTAGTCAGTTATATGTGTCTGCACTCGATTCGTTGATATTATCCCCACTAAAATGTCAACTTTGGAGTAATGACTTAAAACGTCACAATGTTATCCACTAGACCATTGAGTCATGTAGTCACGCATAAAGTATAGACATTTATGATGTTATAGCTTGTAAATCTTCATAGATGACTGGATGAAATTGATTCGGTCAGTACTACCATCTGCGCTACTATGTGCATGCCTCGATGTTACCAGTCTTTTCATTTTTAATACTTATATAAACGATAGTGTTTGGCAGTGAAATCCAGGACATGAGTTTCCGTTAAATGTACTTTTCTCCCTCCCTCCCACTGGGAGTGTGTAAAATAAAACAACAACATTGAAAACTGAGCTGGTGAACCTCTAATAATACTTAATATATTCATGAAATTAGTAGAAACTTGAAAAGAAAAAGAAAACAGGCTAGAAACCAATTCAACCAAATCCATAATACATTTTTACTGAATTAAATCACATTGTGTAGCTTCACACAACTGGCTTTATGAATAATATGAAGTGGCTGTAGCTAATTACATTCAGATCACAACAGTACTGTTTCGTCCTAGTATTGGAGTCATCAGCTGTGCTCAGTCATGAACCCTAGTTCACAAGCGATTGAATCCAGAATCTTTAGGTTCCACGACGAAGATGTTACCATTGAGTTAGTGGGGGTGAAATGCAGCTAGATAGAAGACAAGAACTCTGAGGAAATGAAGTTCAATCAATATTAAACACTGACCCCCTATAGTCTAAAGAATTAATAAAGTGAAAATGATCAGATTTATAGATTTTTTTTTGCTTCTTATCAGTTGGAATATATTTTCATGTTTTTCTCCTCTTTACTTTAATCAGATCCTAAACTTTCACTACAAACAGACTCACTTCAATCAAGTATGAATGGAGAGACAACCGTTTTAGATGGATCCATCTCAACTGATTTACTTCTTACAAACTGTTCGCTATCTTTATCCTCTTCACTGTCATCATCATCATCATCATCATCATCGGCGTCATCTTCATCGGCAGCTTCATCTCCTTCCACGTGTTCCACTACACAAGAAAAATTATTCAATTTGAAGTCCCGTTCATTCTCATTGAAACGTTCTCCATTTAAATTATCACAATTTTTATACCATCTACTCAATAAATCTGAGTATAATCCACATTTAATCTGTTGGGTAGATAAATCACAGAATATGTTTAAATTAGTGAATAGTGCAGCAGTTGCTCATCTCTGGGGTCTACACAAGCATAAACCGAATATGAATTATGAAACAATGGGTAGAGCACTTAGGTAAGGCAGTATTCAATCTAATTGATGAAATTCTGTTTTTTATTTCACATTAAAATTGGTAATATGAAGTATAAACAATTACGTAATGAATATTGATAGAAAAAAGACTGGGGAGTTGGTGTATAAAATTATACTAGAAGTGACATCATATTGACGGCAATGAAAGTGGTTGAACCAACTTCTTTTGAACAAAGGTTGGATTTATTTATAAAGATGGATTGTGATCACCTCGCTCATTTCACCGAGAGCTTCTTGACCCATGGTTAGTTCTTTTCCTGCGCTGTATGCTCCAAGTTCAGCATTCATGTCACCCCACCGATTAGAATACATTTGATGTGACCAACTGGAGTCTTGTCTATTACTGATTGTAGTTGACTGTAGAGTTCCTCCTTATTCTCTTGATCTGCATTATTTGTAGGTGCACGGTGTAGCGTAGTGTAGTGTAGTGTAGCATTGTATGATTGTGACCTTCCTTCCTTTTGATTTGAATCTTACTGTCATGATGTTGATCGTGGAGGAGATTGGTTGCCAGTGCATGAGAGCCTTCGATGATCTTGGAGACATCATGATAGTCACTCGAAAACTGAATGTCCTCGTGGTTGTTGTCTTAGTGACAATATCAGAGTAGATTATTGACTCTCCAGTTGACAGTCTGGAGACTCCACTCCCATTCCATCTACTTTCGCAAATTCATAACACTTCCATGCAATACCTCCTCATCTCGTTTACAATCTGGACATCCTTGGTAGGTTCATACATTGTGTGTACATTCCATGTCCCCACGTTTACTTTCGGTTTGATGGAGAGAAGCGAAGACACATCGGTCAATTGGCTTCCCGAAGTCTTTCACCAATCGGCGTCATTTCGTCTCTGGGATTCCAGCGAGGAATAATATTGTTTTTATTTGTAATATTTTGTTTGTGCTTTGAAGTTTTTTTAGCGGTTAGATTTGTTTTCCGGGGTAGGGTTGCTAGCCCTATGCCCAGTCCAACCTTGCCTCTTTACTCGAGCTTAGAACCGACTAGTAACTAGTGAACTGTTTAACCATGCGAGGTTGTTATATGAAGTAAACGAGTGTGCAGTCTATGATTATGATAAACTAATTGGAATATGTTGAATAACTTTGAAAGTTTTTCTAGTATCCATTTGATATCCCGTGTCAACTAGGTGTACAAGTATCGAGCTTTTTTTATTATTCTAATTTGTCCCTTACTCAACCATGATGGACAGTGCTCAGAAATTTGGCGATAGATGTGCCTCGTTGTATGTGCAACGTAACTGGCTAAACAGGAGCAGTTGAAATGACAAGTGCACATAGAAGTAGCAGAATCAACCGGTTAGTGTTGATTTCTTGCACCTAGAATCGCACTGCTGTAAAAGATGGGGGGCTAATTTAGAAACTGGGAATACTTTTGCAAGGTCCTTTTATGCGTTATGTGATAATCTAATCTAATCTAATCCTAATGGAACATACGGCTTCAGTAGCACGTCTCCGTTACACTCTGTTCTCGAAAATCATTTCAACCCAGCCTCACCACACCACACAAGCTCTCATTTCCTCCTCTCACCATCTCGTCCATGTCATCCTCCCCAACGACGCCCAACTCGTCGATTTCCATCTGGGTTCCACTCTAGAAAATGGCCTGACTCGTGATGTCCACAGTCGGTTTTCTCAGTGCATGCCTAATCCAATCCATCTCCACCTCCTTCCACTTCATATTTGTTCAGTGATAGGTTCTTGCTTCGTTGGTTCGTCCCCAGAGCCCCTTGTTGCTGCTTTCTTTTTCGCCTTCTTATCTGATCTTCAGTAACGAGCCAGCGTAGGCACCACCTGTTGATGATGTCTGTAGTTTGTTGGAAATGCCCTTCATAACGCGCCAAGTCTCTGAGTCATACAGAAACACTGACTTGACTGAATTGGTGTTGAAAATCCGGATCTTGTTCCACTTGCTGACTTGAGTGCAATAGATCACCACACTGATCATTTCAGATTAATGAAGGCCTGTCTTGCTGTCTTTCCGATCCTGTCTGGCTTTGACATCCTCGTCTGTGCCTGTGCCTATGCCGCCACCTGTGGTTGAAACAGTGCTGTCTATATAGGTGTAGGTGAAAGAGGCTACTTCCCTTAAGTTTCTCCAGTTGATGGTGATTCGAGATGCTTGTTGTTGTTGTTGTTGGTTGGGTATCTTCATCACCTCTGTCTTCTCCATATTCACTTGAAGTCCCCTCTTCTCTCTCTGCCCTCACCTGACCTGCCCTACTCTGCCCTGCCTCTTCTGTCAACTTGTTAGTTTTCACGTGCAGATCTCCACCTTTGTGCGACAAGACATCAGACACAAGTCATCATCGTTGGCGAAATCCAAATCTTCTAGGTTGTTTTCCCCAGTACAGCTAGCATATCCCCAACCCCATCTTCTCACAGCTCCTCACTGTTTCTTGCATCATCCAATCTAGTCGACCACAATACAATGAGGAATGTCATGTGTGATAGTAGGCAACCTTGTCTTATCTTACTCCTGTCTTCACTTCATTCCACAGGCATCACTGAGCTTCACATTATGAATTAGATTACTTTGCATATAGCGTGACTGTTAAAGCAACTGTCGGTCGATGCTGTCAGAGGCCCTTTCGAAGTCGATGAAGTTGAGGTAGAGTTGAGTTGACTGCCATTCTATACTCTGTTCTACGATGATGCGAAGCGTTGCAATTTGGTCTCTCCTTGACAATGTCACCCTTGAATTTCAGCTTGAATAAGATTTCCTTCTTAACTTAACCTATTTATTTAATAGAAGTGTGTTCGATCACTTTCATTATCGTGGACGTCAACATGATATCATTTTGTATACAAATTCTCCCTCTTTTTTTCTATCAAAAGTCATGTAGTTTCTCATTATTACGTAATCACCAATGTTTATTAGTGGACACTCATCAGAAATCACTCACTTTACGTATGAATAACCTATTTCATTTATTACCAATTTTAATTACCCTATTGATTATTTATTTGTATCTTATTTTATTCTGTTGATCAATGTTATTTTGAGGTAGGAAAAATATGGATGATTTGATTCCTATTAAATTATGGCGATACCTAGAAGTTTTGGGTTTGAACCCCAACAGAGTGAGATGAAGTCATCGATGAGCATTTTGAAGAATCCTGTACAAGGATGAAACATATTTCCATCACTTTCAGTTTAATATGATTCTTTAAGAAGTAACATTACAAGAGAAATACCATTTTTAAACAAATAAAATCTTCATCAACCTTCATCTTAATAACATTCTCATGGGATATAAAGATGAATCAGTATAAAAGATAATTAATGTCATGATATCATCGATAAGAGATATACAAATAAACAGAATTACATTTTTGACTGATTCCTTACTGTGAAACAATGAATTATAGTCTCTGTACCAACTTTATGCCTTTACTAACATTGGTGTGATATTCAATTTGTAGTACAACACTAATGTGGCAATAAAATCGCCATTTGTATAGCGAAAAGCGGTTACATACACACTTCAAGATGTTTTTTTTTTGATGAAGTTGTGAAGATTTGGAAATATTTGAAGTTGTTATTCATCATAGACTGATATCAGTTGGAGAGGAACAAAGAAACCTGGGAGCACTAGACAGTTATTTCATCGTATTTGTGTGGGACTCTTCAGGAGTGCGCATCCATAGATATATGTCACAAAAGGATACCATCTAGAGTACCAATAAATCCTTGAAAGAAACAACAATTACCTGAATAACTTACTTTGGAGCAAAAATGTTTTGCTTGTATTTCAATTTCTGGTTTTCTATAAAACTTCTTTTCAGAAAGACTTCAATTCTTCTGAGTAGTTATACTACTGAATAGACTAGATATCAGTAGTAGATGTTGTTAGTTGAGTGTTATTAGGTGATGGATGATACATTTATTCATATGAACACTGATTCCAATGCCTAGTTGGTAGTATTATTGAAATGTAAAGATTACAGGCATACAATTTATTACAGCAATGAAAGTTTATCAATGCCAGGTTACGAGGACTTCCTTCAGGAAGTCAACACCTTTTTATACAGCTGAAATCAGTGATTTATTCACATCATGGATTGATAGTTCATCTTTAAGGCTTTCGGCAAATTGATCCCAATTCGTATAATCCTTCTACAGAGATGATAAATTCACATGAATAAAAAGTTGTGAATACAACAGTCAGCGTACTCAGCTATAATCTAACCTTGAGAAACAACCATATACGATGGTTTCCATTGTCATCACATTATTATTATTATTATTAGTCCCTTGGGTTCCTAGTGGAACATAGGGTTCCAGTAGCACGTCTCCAGTGACCTCTCTTCTCTGAGATCTTCTGAACCTGGTTCCACGACAGCCCACAACCTCTCATTTCTTCCTCGCACGACACCCTCCATGTCACCCTCAGCTGCCACGTCCAACTCGTGGCTTCCTATGGGCATTCCACTCGAGAAACTGGCCTTTTTTGACGCATGATGTCCCCAGTCGGCCTTCTCAGTGCATGCCCAATCCACCTCCACTTCCTCCCACTGCATATTTGTTGCGTGATAGGTTCTTGCTTCGTTGGTCCGTTCCCAGACCTTTTTCCTTGTTGCTTATTCTCATTATTCTGGCAATCCATCTGATCTTCAGTAGCGAGACAGCGTAAGCAGTTGTTGATGAATGTCTGTAGTTTGTTGGAAATCACTTTCGTGACGCGCCAAGTCTCTCAACCATTTTACAGAAGCACTGACTTGACTGAATTGTTGTTGAGAATCCGGATGTTGTTCCACATGCTGAGTGTAGTGCAGAAGATCTCCACACTGGTTTCGGGTTAATGAACACCTGTCTTGCTTTTCCGATTCTGACTTTGACATCGTCGTCTGTGCCTGTACCACCTGTACTTGAAACAGTGCTTCCTAGATAGGTGAGGTGAAGGAGGTTACTTCTTTTAAGTTTCTCCCGTTGTTGGTGACTGGAGTTTGTTGTTGTTGTTGTTGTGTGGTGGTGGTGGTGGTGGTGCGGTATCTTCATCACTTCTGTCTTCTCTATATTCACTTGAAGTCCCGTCTTCGCTGCCTCTTCTATCAACTTGTTAGTTTTTGCCTGCAGATCTTCAAGTTTATGTGACATCAGACACAAGTCATCGTTGGCGAAATCCAAGTCTTCTAGGTTCTTTTCCGCAGATTGTCATCACATACAACAAGTGAATTGTGAAACATCTTGTAGACTGATGGTTCTTATATTTAAACGTGAATTTCCTGGTAAATTTCATAGGAAGTTCCCTAATGTTTTATCCTTTTTTTTCTTATATCATTTAATCTTAGATATTATTATGCACAGAATATCCTACGCAAAGTGAAAGGGCAACGTTTAGTTTATCAATTCCTGGAAGATTTTCATAAATCTCATTATCCACCTTCTATATCAGTTATACCGGGAACAATTGTTACAACGGATACAATGACGATAACAGCGACAACATCAACAACTACTGGGATAACAATGATACCTGGTGTGGTTAAAACAGACCTATCGATTGGAGAATATACAAATATCAATAATCCATTACAACTAACACCCATAAATTAACTTACATGACAATAATCAAGCGTTTTATCCAGCAATAAAAGCCTAGGCACCTCATCATCATTAATACAACTTCCACTTATAGGGAATATGTTAGTTAATCATACTAATACTACTTACTAATAACAATGTTAATGGTAATAATAACATCTCAGATAAGATGTACCGCTAGTAATTTGTATGAAGCAGTTGAAATGTACGCTTTATCAAGTTTTCTACACATATTTGACATAATTGTATATTTTTATAACCACAATAAATAAACGTGAATAATCTATAATGTATATGATATTCTTAGTACATTTTTGTTCTTTGAATTTATTATTAGTCCCTTGGGTTCCTAGTGGAACATAGGGTTCCAGTAGCACGTCTCCAGTGACCTCTCTTCTCTGAGATCTTCTGAACCTGGTTCCACGACAGCCCACAACCTCTCATTTCTTCCTCGCACGACACCCTCCATGTCACCCTCAGCTGCCACGTCCAACTCGTGGCTTCCCATGGGCATTCCACTCGAGAAACTGACCTAGCCTGACGCATGATGTCCCCAGTCGGCCTTCTCAGTGCATGCCCAATCCATCTCCACTTCCTCCCACTGCATATTTGTTGCGTGATAGGTTCTTGCTTCGTTGGTCCGTTCCCAGACCGAGTTCCTTGTTGCTTATTCTCATTATTCTGGCAATCCATCTGATCTTCAGTAGCGAGACAGCGTAAGCAGTTGTTGATGAATGTCTGTAGTTTGTTGGAAATCACTTTCGTGACGCGCCAAGTCTCTCAACCATCACACAGAAGCACTGACTTGACTGAATTGTTGTTGAGAATCCGGATGTTGTTCCACATGCTGAGTGTAGTGCAGAAGATCTCCACACTGGTTTCGGGTTAATGAACACCTGTCTTGCTTTTCCGATTCTGACTTTGACATCGTCGTCTGTGCCTGTACCACCTGTACTTGAAACAGTGCTTCCTAGATAGGTGAGGTGAAGGAGGTTACTTCTTTTAAGTTTCTCCCGTTGTTGGTGACTGGAGTTTGTTGTTGTTGTTGTTGTGTGGTGGTGGTGGTGGTGGTGCGGTATCTTCATCACCTCTGTCTTCTCTATATTCACTTGAAGTCCCGTCTTCGCTGCCTCTTCTATCAACTTGTTAGTTTTTGCCTGCAGATCTTCAAGTTTATGTGACATCAGACACAAGTCATCGTTGGCGAAATCCAAGTCTTCTAGGTTCTTTTCCGCAGATTGTCATCACATACAACAAGTGAATTGTGAAACATCTTGTAGACTGATGGTTCTTATATTTAAACGTGAATTTCCTGGTAAATTTCATAGGAAGTTCCCTAATGTTTTATCCTTTTTTTTCTTATATCATTTAATCTTAGATATTATTATGCACAGAATATCCTACGCAAAGTGAAAGGGCAACGTTTAGTTTATCAATTCCTGGGAGATTTTCATAAATCTCATTATCCACCTTCTATATCAGTTATACCGGGAACAATTGTTACAACGGATACAATGACGATAACAGCGACAACATCAACAACTACTGGGATAACAATGATACCTGGTGTGGTTAAAACAGACCTATCGATTGGAGAATATACAAATATCAATAATCCATTACAACTAACACCCATAAATTAACTTACATGACAATAATCAAGCGTTTTATCCAGCAATAAAAGCCTAGGCACCTCATCATCATTAATACAACTTCCACTTATAGGGAATATGTTAGTTAATCATACTAATACTACTTACTAATAACAATGTTAATGGTAATAATAACATCTCAGATAAGATGTACCGCTAGTAATTTGTATGAAGCAGTTGAAATGTACGCTTTATCAAGTTTTCTACACATATTTGACATAATTGTATATTTTTATAACCACAATAAATAAACGTGAATAATCTATAATGTATATGATATTCTTAGTACATTTTTGTTCTTTGAATTTATTATTAGTCCCTTGGGTTCCTAGTGGAACATAGGGTTCCAGTAGCACGTCTCCAGTGACCTCTCTTCTCTGAGATCTTCTGAACCTGGTTCCACGACAGCCCACAACCTCTCATTTCTTCCTCGCACGACACCCTCCATGTCACCCTCAGCTGCCACGTCCAACTCGTGGCTTCCCATGGGCATTCCACTCGAGAAACTGACCTTTTTTGACGCATGATGTCCCCAGTCGGCCTTCTCAGTGCATGCCCAATCCACCTCCACTTCCTCCCACTGCATATTTGTTGCGTGATAGGTTCTTGCTTCGTTGGTCCGTTCCCAGACCTTTTTCCTTGTTGCTTATTCTCATTATTCTGGCAATCTATCTGATCTTCAGTAGCGAGACAGCGTAAGCAGTTGTTGATGAATGTCTGTAGTTTGTTGGAAATCACTTTCGTGACGCGCCAAGTCTCTCAACCATTTTACAGAAGCACTGACTTGACTGAATTGTTGTTGAGAATCCGGATGTTGTTCCACATGCTGAGTGTAGTGCAGAAGATCTCCACACTGGTTTCGGGTTAATGAACACCTGTCTTGCTTTTCCGATTCTGACTTTGACATCGTCGTCTGTGCCTGTACCACCTGTACTTGAAACAGTGCTTCCTAGATAGGTGAGTGAAGGAGGTTACTTCCTTTAAGTTTCTCCTGTTGATGTTGACTGGATACTCTGTTAGTAAAGACTGCTGATTAATAAAGAATACCCTTCCTTAGTTATGAATAGATAGGGAAGATGAAATGTGAAGTGGTTGCATTCGATCACTTCAAGATGGTTTCTAAGCATTTACTAACTAATATTATTTATTCTTACTTGTACTTCTTTGGCCTAATGAGTAACACTGATGTTTTGAACTATAGGTGCGAATTTTTGAGTCTCAGTGACACTAATATCCCTTAGTTGGGGTGTAAGCAGATTCCGCTGACGAGTCCCCAATAGGAAGAAGCTCACGTTTTCAATTCAGCCATTAATATCAGACTTCTATTGATTTTTTTTTTAGCGGAAAATTTAATCCTTAGAGTTAACAACCGCTCATATCTGGTAATTGTCTTCACCTATCAGTCAGGTGAAAACTCTCACCTTGAAGAAACTCATTGCTTTCCTTATAACCTGAATTTACTTCATTCTGCAATACAGTAAAACATCTTAGCATATCAAATCTCTTCTAGGAGTGTGTTGAGTTGTAGAATTTATCATGGAATGATAATTTTTGTAGTCATGACATCGTAATTGGAGAATAAAAATTTTATGTATCAGTAAGAGTATGGGATTTTGTACGGTTAGATGGTTATGCTTGAATCCTGTCATTGATTCGCTTTGAATATTTAACACTTTTGTGCCAATTCAGCTGAACCATAGCCAATATACACTTTTCCCATTGACTCGAATAAGTAATCAGGGCTTGATAGATGAATGAATATATTGATCTATTCCTGTATGAATAAACTGTCATCAACAATAATCAATCAGTTTCATATCTACGAAACATATACCATCCTGTGATGAAAAAAATTTCTCATAATAAGTGTACTGTGCTGTCATATTGTCTTCAAAGATTTCATTTTTAGTTTCATTGAACTCATGTCATACTTTCAGTGAAATCATCCGATCTTATTGGTGTCAGAGAAAAATTGTTAACAAATTGCTCATATTATATATTTCGAGTAGATGTAATACACATACTTAACTGACAGGTAACTTCGTACGGAAGAGCCATCGACTGCAACCCACTACGAATAGGGAAGAAGACCAAAGCTGGATGGTAGAGTTTATTCCTCCAAGAATAATAACCAATCAACCCAAAAACACATAACTATCTATGCACATAAAATATGATCTTGTCCATTGATTGAGGCATTACCATACTAAGAGTAAGGATTAACCAATCAGCGAATCACCTTGAAAATGAGGGTAAAAAATGAACCACTAGTCTTACTGTGAAAATGACAAGATAAAAAAATGTTCAGATCAATAACAATGTTTTATGCTAAACTGGGGTCTGCAGGGTACCTGGTTGACTTGGAGTACGCAAACAGCATTATCCCATTGGTAGGCAATGATGGGGAAAAATGTACAGCCTTCTGAACACTATGAGGAAAACTCCGAGTATGCTTTACATGTATTACACAGGCACCTATTCAATGTAAGATGATGCTCAAGGACTGATGATCTACAACAACTTCTAATTTAAAGACAGGAAGTAAAGTGATGAAATGCAGAAAATCTAGTCAAATTTCTCCCTCTTTCTGTAGACATCAGTAGCCATATGCATCTCTACGGATATCAGACATGCATAATTTTGTACAGACCAATGACACCATGTCACTAACTACATACATCTTGTGTGCACAAGTCTAAGAAACACCAACTCATCAACAATAATCAATCAACTTCATATCTACAAAAGATACATTGATGATACCATCATCATCAGTTGTGGTAAAAATGAGAATCTTGTAAATCTGCTCCCAACTTTCAACAATGTTCACACATCAATCAATTCCACTCAATGATGTTCAACTTCAAAGAAGAAATGATAATCCACTTCCTAGATGTGCTTACATAAAGTCTATATGGAACGAATAGTTAATCAACTTTCAAAGTTCAATCCTTCTAAATACAAACAGAAATCTTATCTCATCACTCTCGTCGAAGATCAAGGAAAATGTGTACAGAGGATACTGTTGATGGAGAACTGAAACATCTTCAAAGAGAACACAAGAGAACGAACACAGTGTCAAAAAGGATACTTTCGCTGAATAGAAAATACTTCATCGTCAACCTTCGAATCATTTTCTTCTGCAAGAAACAGTTTAGTCAGTATGTGAAAGGTAAGCTGACACACTTTGGACCACATCAATGTGTGCATACCAGTTAAAGTGCTCCTGTGTAGCTGAGTACATCGGCCATACCATTCGTCTTCTTGTAAAATGTACTCGAGAACACTACTCAGTCTATCTGATGAAAGGAGAACGATATGTATGTTTATCTCAGTAACAGAGCACTTTATGTTCTCAGGTCACTTTCAAACTCGTCTACAGGGTTTGATCAACCAGTCAAAGGGAATGAGATCACGGTATTTCAAAACTCTGTCATTACCATGGCCGTCATAAAGCTTTGATTGTCCTAGATAAGTCCTGTATCACGTAGTTATCCTTGTTTGTTTTCCCACTGTGAATCGTGATCTGCATTAAGTAGCTTTCTTTCATTATTCCACTGATCTTGAGCCCTAACCGGTTATAATAGTTCTAGGATGTTTTTGTCAGTGTAAGATATATTCATGAATATACTTCATCAAGTAGAGAGATTCTTCTTT